AAACAATGAAGTTAACATACTGGTGATATATTGTATATCTGTATGTATACATTTACAATGAGGTCAAATGAGAGGGAGGCATATAACTATTGTCTAAGAAATAATTCAAATCAGGCACCAATATTTGTAGTGTGTGCCTTCGATTAAAGGAGTGTAAACTGATTTAGCAAGGCTTAGTTGCAAGCAACTCCAGCACCAATGACAGTGAACAAGCAAATGCTGTTATACAGTGACCTTTACAAACATTTCCCAATAAATATTTATAAAATGCAAGTTAAGAAACATAGTACTGGAATTGGCCATCAGAGGGATTTTGCTTCTGAATTTACAGGAACGAAGTTCTGTAAACAATATACACGCTATCATCATCCTGAATTATGTACATATTAACAACCAGCATTCACATGAAATTATAAAGATCAAGGATTGTGCCAAATATTTTATTGTGATCATAGTTTAAAGAAGAATTGTGTGCAGTGATGAAAGTTGCCGAAAATTACTCCTTCCACACTTGTCAACTCACTGGACACAATTCAGAGATCTGGAGGCAGACATTAAAAAAAATCACGAAAAAAACACCACAACAGCATGTGTCAGTACTGTTTAATTAAATGGCAAGTGGTGTTTAATTTATTTTGCAGAAAATTGTCATTGATGTTTGTCTTGGCTTTGTTTTATGTTCTGAAACTGTTGTCTTCTGTATTAATTTTTAGTTGCCTTGAATACTTAAATTGAGTAGAAAAGTGGGACAGAAATTAAAAATAAGCCAATCATTAACCCAATTCATAGAGATTGAATACAGTGTCTGCAAAGTATACGTAGGCCTCAACTTATAACAACAAATGGGACCTGAATTTTCATTGCTAAGCATTCATTGAGTCATCAGATGATTGCCAATCTTATGACTTTTTTGCTGCAGTTGTTAAGAAAATCACAGGGTCATTAAGCAAATCTGGCTTTCCTCAATGGTTGTAAGTCAAGGACTACATACAGCTAGTTATTTCTCAGATTTGTCATGCAGGGGTAGAAGCAAAAGTATGATATAACTGTTACCAAGAAAATTTCACAGGGTTAACAAGGAGTCAAGCTCAAAATAAGAGAGGCTTTACTTCTTATAAGGTTTTTAAACAGATCATTTGGATTCTCTTCCTCCGCTTCCAATAACAATGTCTAACGGGAATTACAATCACTATCCTATAAGAGGAGGGCCTGACAAGAACTTCCTATCCCAAAGGGAGCATTATTTGTCTCACTGAAGTAAAGAAATTACACAATTTGATTGGAAAAGGTGTTTTATGCTATATCTGCAGCCTGCACCAGCATGTCCAGTGACTACTGGTGGAGAAGGAAACTGGAGTGGCATGAAACATTAAGGCAGTTTTGCTCTGATCTTTAAGAGAACCTCACTCAAAGAATCATCAAAGTCGGCCACTCCTTTGATCCGCTTCAGAACCTTAATATTTATAGCTAAACATTTGGTTTCCTTTCATCACTGCTTATTAATAATGTTAATTCGTTCAACTGGCTTGTCTAATTAGAAAGTTTTAAAGAAACTTAAGAGTAACCAAGCGTAGCTTAGTTCTATTCATGCTCAACATTCATCCATGAACCCAAATTGGTGGTCAAAATTTAAGTTAGGTCAAAACTGACATACATACGTTAATACATTTATTGGGTGTCTTTGAGTTAATGTTGACTCCTGGTCATTGCCTGCACTAATCCCTGCAGTTATTGTGGGAAAATTTTGGAAATGATTTGCCTTCTTCCTCGGTTGAGAGAAATAATAAGGGTTCCGTTGCAAAAAATCCATTTAAGAAAATTTAAAATAAAGATTAGATTATCTGAAGATCTTGATACAAACGAAACTTCTCTAGTTACATAATTTGATTCCTGTGTAAGACGTTTTCCTGGACTTGTGGAACTTGCTTTATAATAAAACTGCTCCCCCAATATCTCTTCTTTTTAAAAATGCTATACCTTTCTGCATTAACAAGATTAGCTAACTAATATCTTTGCTTAACAAGTCCAACTTGTTGTCTCCCTCTTCTTTTATAATATAGAAAACAAACGGACACAACATTTGGAAGAGGCCAAATCTCAATGGAGGGAGATAGGCTAATTTATAATTAATTAAATATGTGAACAGGCTTCATATTTTAAAATCCAAATGTAATATATAAGGATTAGGAAAACCACATAATTAGGGAAATGCTGTTTATCTTTAAAAATACTTGTATCTAGTTTGTACTATGTTTAAAAGTTCTCAAAGTATTGACTCTGGAAATACTCATCATACCTATCATCTCTAGGCAATATTAAACACATCGAAATATAAATGGTTTAAGCATGGAATCCGAACTCTACCCTAGAGAGAGGTGGAGGTTAAAAGAACAAAACAAAAAATTCTTCTTATTGTCGTGTATGGTTTTCTTTTCTGTTTTTTTAGAGTTTTAAAATAAAGTTTATTTAAGTTTCATATATTTAAAACATTTAAAAAGAAACAAACAAACATATAAACAAACATATAAACATATAAACAAATATATACACACACACACACACACACACACACACACACACATATACATTTTGCAGCAGGTATTGAGCATTGGTTACATTTTTCTTTTCTTTTTTTTTTCTTTTACCCCATAACATTGACGTGAACTACCTTGTTACAATACCTTCCTCGTTCTTTTCTTATGTGCCACTGAAATTTTAATAGGCTTAATAAACAGAAGTGTCTGGAAATGCTGAAATAATAGCCTGATCTTAGATTAAGACTACTTCATTTGAAATTGTGTAGATTATTACGTAGATATTATTAGTATGGTTAATTTTATTGCCTCTAATGAAATGTACTGATTTATCTGATCATTTCGAATGCTGAACTATTCCGGTGGGGACCTTTTTGTGAACCTTGGATGCCCCTCCTAAAGTAGAGTCTTAAAAATACAGTTTGCCAAATATTTGTTACAATGGTGTCTTGCCCAAGTAGACTCAGCACATAGAGAAGTGCAAGCGGTGGATTCTAAGCTATTGAAGTATATTATTGGTGCTCTCTCAATTAAGAGGTTATGTCTAAAGGTGGAAAATCCAAGTTTAATCACTAAATTTAATCGGGCTGAGGAATTCCAGCGAAACTAGGGCGATCAGAATCAGGAAGCCTACTAGAGGGCTACAAAGCAATACTGTACATAAAACTCTCAAATCTTTGCTGTCATCTAGTGGTCCCCCAGTTTTTGCAACCCAGATCTTGTAGTAGCTAAGTGGTGTATCTCCCCATAAACAAAGCAACAACTCCAGTCATTTACAGCCAGTTTGTTACCACCCACCAAAAGAGGGCTGAAGGAGAATCCAAAAATGTAACCCCCCAAAAAATCTGTAAGAAAATGAATTGACGATTATTCTAATACAACCTCTCTCACAACCCACCAAAGTAACTTGCAAACACAGGGAACCAGAAATAGAACTGGAGTCACTAAAAGCACCAGATAATGTTTTGTTGCAGATTAGCTTGCATTTGCTAAGCAGGACTGCAATAAAGTGGGCCTCTCCGAACTTCCCTGATGGCCTGTGAAAATAAGACACTGCATTCATCATATGAATCTAGTGGCCAACAAAACTTTTATGGTATTGAAATATTTCCATATCTGGAAGACTTTTTGAACTTCAACCTATATTTATTCAACCTAAATTTATTTGAACCAACAATTCTCCCCAACGGAGAATCCAAAGGTTTGCATAGAAAATTCGAGAGACGGATCAAGAAATCTACTTATAGGGTCACCTCAGCTCGGTGTGCTGGGCGAAAACTACTGGGAGTAACACAAAGGCAGGAAAGAAAAGGCCCCAAAGTACAAGACTCAAATATACAGATATATTTTTTTTCACATGTGATCTGTAAGGAGAGATGGAACACTTCTAATGCTGATTTTATTTGTAGTATTTCTTAATTTTTTTAAAAAATAAATGTTTCCCTCCTCTCTTGCTCCTCAGTTTCCTTCTACCCGATTCAACTCTTTCTGAGGTGCTAACCTACTCCTGACCTAAATATACATTGATTGTGTGTGTGTGTGTGTATATATGTATATGTATGTATGTATGTATGTATGTGTCTGTGTGTGTGTGTGTGTATACACACAGAGAGAGAGAGAGAGAGAGGCGACGGAAACAAAGGGATGATAGTGAAGCGGAAAAGATTTGATTATGGTTCGTTTCTCTCCTTCTGGAGGGAGAAGGACATTTAGAAACCAGAGGTTGCGGAGGACGCCAGCCTCCTCCGACGAGTAAGGGATACGTTTATAGGTTTCTGCTGAAATCGAGACGAGGGGGGGAGGCAGAGAGAGAAACGTGCGTTGTGTGCGCGCTTCTGGAGCAAACTTGTCCATCTGAAAGCAGCGCGAGATTCGCGCCAGAGATTCCCCAAAAGGAAGAGAAAGGACGGGACCCTCTCCCCCGCCGCGGATCCTTCAAGGCGCCCCGGCCGGAGTAAGGTTATGCCTGGAAGGAATCGGCCAGCGGGTTTTTTCCCTCCCCGTCCCTTTGCCTCCTCGTCTCCTCTGCCTGCCGCATTCCGTGCTGCTTTTCTCCCCACCACCACGACCACCACCACCCCCCTTCTTCCTTTCCCATCCCCGCTTGAGCTTGAGAGATGGCAGTAGCAACGGTGACGAGGAAGCGAAGAAGAGCCGCGGGGAAAGGAGAGGGGTCGGCGGCGGCGCGACTGAGAACCCCTCGGCATGTTTTGCAGCGGGGATTGCTAAATCGGGGGAAAGAGGCACCCGGGGGTGGGTGGGGGGAAATTCAAGGTATTTTTTCCGATTAAAATGCAGACGGGGTGGGGGGTGGGTGGGTCATCCCGATTTCCATGGCTCGGAGAAGCGAACGGGACTCGTTTGCGTTGTTATTATTATCATTCTCATTATTTTTCTCAACCTCTTCCTTTCTTTTTGAACAATCCAAGCAACAGATAGAGATTTTTTTATTATTATTTTTTTTACCTTCAAAATGCAGGCCATGTTCTATCCTTCCTTAACCCTCCTCCCCTTCCAAAAGCAGCAGAGATCTGCTTTGGGAGTCAAGAGATCCAACTCTCGGAGGCAGGAGACTGTGAAAGAGCCGCCCCGGGGCTGCCTCCGCTTACATTCCGGGAGATCCCAGCACATGAGGACCCGCACCGTTCCGCGATCCGTTAGTCATGTTGGCTTTTCTTTCCTTTTTTTTTTTCCCATGTTCCTCCCCATCAGCTTCTGCCACTGGCTGGGAACCAGCTCCGTACCACCAACCCCTTTCGTCACGTGACTGAGCTGGGCTCTTTCCACCGCCCCACCCACCCCCGGCTCTTTTTTATTTATTTATTTATTTATTAACTTCTTTTTTTTTTCCTGAAGAATTTTCGTTTTCTTTTTTGAAGAGGGAAGCGATCGGGTGCTTCTTCTCTTCTTCTTCTTCTTCCTCCTCCTCCTCCCTCTCCTGCTTATCGGGACGGTATGCCAAAGAAAACTTTTGATGCCCGAAGATGCGCCGCGGTTTGGAAGAGACTCTCTCGGGGTGGGTGAGGTGAGAGTAGATAAACTTCGCGTGACTTTTTTTCCCTAATAAAAAAAGAAAACTGATCGGGAATCTCCGGCGCAGAAAAGCCGGATTAGAGTTGGAAAAAGAAGTTCTCCTTCCCCCGCCACCCTTATGTACCAACATGAACAACGGACAAAAAGATCTCCGATGCCCCGCTGTAGGCTGGAAGCCTGGAAAACAAGCCTCTCTTTCTTCCTCCCTCTCTCTCTCTGTCTCTCTCTCCTTTTGTCTGAAATTTGGCGGTGAAAATAGCGACCCCACGTTGCACATAATCCACAGGATCGCATTGTGGCTCGGTCTACTTGTTGCTTTCCCTCCCTTGCATTTATCCCAGGCACAAGTGATGCCCTTGCATCATTTTTTTCCCCCGTGCTGCCTGATGGGACTTTCACCTGGTCCCCAGACTGTGATAGAGACAACCGCAGTGGGTCTTGGTGTTAGTCAGGATCTTTTTGGGTCTTGGTGTTAGTCAGGATCTTTTTGGCTTTTCGGCAATTGTACCAAATACATATGTTCAGCAGCTCCTTCTGGATGCAGGCTTACTAGTCTTCTGGATACAGGTAGTCTTAGACTTACCTTATCACTTAGATTTAGTGATTTGTAGGAAGGCCCCTGTCCCCAGATTAAGATATTTTCATTGTCAACATTAAAAAAGAGGCAGAATATTATATTTTCCCAAAGGAGAAATGGAGAAACATGTTCTTAAAGGCAGAAAGCAACCTCAGTCTTCCTGCATAGGAAACAGCCTCAAGCAGAAGAGGCTTATCTTTTGGAATGGAGATTTTTGTATCCATTCAGAAAGATTGAGTCAATCTGTTCATAAACAAAACAGCAGGTTGGAGCTGATGGATTAAATTTCTACTTTCCCCCACCCAAATTCTAAGGACAGGACATAATAGGATTTGCCCATCACCATTAGAAATAGAAAGACATAAGGCTTACTACATTGCACAGTCCCCTGGAGCATCTCAAACACAAAATCCCAGGACCCTATAAAGATCCATCCACTCATTCAGCCATTTTGTCAGCCACCCCAGAAACATGCTCCTGTCACTGAAGTTTCTGGAGACCAAAATGAATGCAGACCTTCTTTTCTTGTAGCCATTGATTTTTTTTTCTCCTGACTTGGAATCGGATTGGATTTTTCTTCCTACAGACTGAAGATACAGCTTCACTGAAAAGACTGACTTATGATCATTTGCCATACAACCTTTGCAGTGTCACCTTGGTCACATGATTCAGGTGTTTGGCAACTGGCATATATTTATGACAGTTGCACAAGTCTCAGGGTCATGTAATTACCATTTGTAACCTTCCAGGCCAGCTTCTAACAAGCAAAGTCAATGGGGAAAAGCCAGTTTTGCTTAATGACTGTCTGATTTACTAGATAACTGCAGTGATTAACTTAACAACTATAGGTCCTTCCTCCTCTTATTATTCCCACAACAGCAACCACATTAGGTCAATTGGTCTGACCCAAAAATCATCCACTTGGCAGGACTAGAACTCACAATCTCCTGATTTCTGACCCTTAACCACTAGGTTAAACTCCATATAGCCACCTTTCTCACAAGAAAGTTACTCGGGGAGGTGTACAACATAGTTGCCAGAATAAGAAGAAAAACATTCCTTTAATGCTACTATAATTAAGGACAATTTAATCTTGTCTCTCTCAAGTGGAATGCAATATAATGCAATAACATGAGTTGAGACGAAACATCATGGCCCATAAAAGGACAAAATATTTTTCCGGGGGTGATTGTCCCCAGGTTATGTGCAAGTATAGCTAGACTTTGATGTAGGACCATGATTGAACCCAAAATTTCTGCTTCTTAGGCAAGACAGCTGTTAAGTTAATTTTGCCTGTTTTACAACTTTCTTGCAGTTGTTCAGTTAATAACACGGTTAATCTAGCTTTCCCATTGACTTTGCAAAAGGCGACCACATGGCCCTGGGATAATGCAACCATCATAAATGTGTCCGAATTTTGATCATGTGACAATGGGGATGCTGTAACGATCCTAAGTGTGAAAAACTGCCACGACTCACTTTTTCCAGTGCTCTTTTAACTTTGAATGGCCACTCGGACTACCTGTATGGAAAAAATCCCTCCCTAAATTCCTTGTAGCATTCTTATGCCTTTTTTTTTCTGCAAAGGGGCCTTTAAGCTTAGTTTAAAAATAAAATATATTTGGGAGCCTGCAGACAGCTCACTCTATCCATAATTGATGGGTTTGTTTTTTCAGATGCCAACATATAACTTCATTGTTTTGACTGCAACAAACAGTGAAGAAATATCCATTCTAACTCCTCCATTTAATTGGAGAGAGGGAAAACCACAGGAAATGATTAAGAAGACATTCTGAAAGGTATATGGCATTTGTGGTTTTGTAATTCCTTCCATCCCATGGGGGAAGGGATTTACATAGCAAGTAGGGAAGGAATGATTTGACAGGCCCAGCCTACTAGTTGTAAGAATAGCATATAGCATATAAATCTTAAAATTGTCATAGAGTAGAGATTTAAAAACAGCTTAATTTCTTAATAGCTTCAGGAAAAGCTATTTCCTGACAATATTAAGGTCCCTATGTGTGTTATGCTATTTACACTTTTTTTAAAAAAAGGCATGCCTTTTAATTTTATTTTTCCTATTATTTTATTTAATTTCACTTTGAAAACAAGCCATCCAGAACAGAAGCCTGTCCTCACTTCTTGCAGAAAATGTTTACAATGCTATTATTTGTTCCTGCTGAAATTTCTAGAAAGTCCACCACTCTCGCCACCAGACAACACTTGAAACTAGGAACATAGTCTCACACCGGATTCAGTTACTTGTCATCCTAGCTGAAGGGTGAGCAATTTTCCAGATTTGGAAGCTGCAGTTTAGTTTCCAATTGCCTTAAAGGCAACACGTGACATCATTGGAAAGGTGATCATTTCCCAGCAAAATTTAGATGACCCCCTCCCTTTTGTGTGTGTGAGCGGGGAGGGAGACAGAAGCCTTTAGAAGTTTAGAAGCAAGATTCCTCAAAATGGCTTGTAATTTACACTGCTTGTAATTTATATTGCCAACACCAGGGTGAAGAGGAATTACTGTTTTTTTTTTTGTCATGATAGATTATATTACTTGGGCAGCTTGAAGATTTTAAGAATGGATATTAGTAATTTGCATTTTTCTCCTATTGATTAATTTTAAAAAAAATCTTTTTGAGCAGAAAAAATATATGAAAAATCACAACCCCCCCCAAAAGGTAAATATCTTTAAAGCCTAGAAAATCATTGCAGTCGTGTCTTGTTTATTTCTTTATTGGATATTTTATCCTATCTTTATTACTTCATAAGTAACTGAAAGCGGTGAACATACATAATACTCCCACTTCCTATTTTCCCCTCAGCAATAAACTCTATGAGGTGGTTTGGTCTGACAAAAAGCGACTGGCTCAATTTCACCCAACTGGCTTTCATGCTTAAGGCAAGCCTGGACTTCACTATGGTCAAATTCCTACCTACATAAAAGATCACCAACAGCCATGTTTTTCAACCTCAGCAAGATGTGTGGACTTCAACCCCCAGAATTCCCCAGTCAGCATGCAGGCTGGCAACATTGGGAATTGAAATCCACGCATTAAAGTTATTGAAGTTGAGAAACACTGCTGTGGAGGAAAGAGGTAGAATGCAACTAAAACAAGTTTGTGTCCATTAGAGATGGAAATATAACATTAAATTCCTGAAGGCTCCCTCCCTGATACAGCAGTGAAAGAAAGGCATTGAAAGATATTAGCATCTGCATACAGAATGCGATATAGAAGAAAATAATGCTAAGAACTCTTTATACCAAGGGTGGCAACTATGGTTCTTTACTATCTATGGACTTCAACTTCCAGAATTCCTGAACCACCTTTTAGTGAGGGAGAGCTCACTTTGCATCCTCTTCCCATGGCTTTTTCTTGACCTAAATCCTTTGCTGTAGGTATTCTACAAGAAAATGCATTGGGAGAAGGTGCAAGGACCAGCAAAGTGAGCTCATGCTTTCCAAATGGTGCTCCACATGGAGGTTGGGTCATGTCTATGTTCAACAGGCTGAATGACAGATAAAAATGGACTGAAAAGCAGCCATTGATTCTCTTAAACACTTTAATTAAAATTAGAATTTAAACTAAACTCTGTTTTCTGGGGCTTGGTGATCGTGCATGAAATCTGAACTCACAATTTTTAAACAGACAGACATACGATAGGGAACAGACATTTCTGGAGACCAGAAATGACTACATTTTGCAAAATTACAGGATCTTCTCATTTTCATTCTTTTCAATCTAAATTAAGGTTTGAATGAAAATATGAAAAAGAGATACAAGACTCTGTCTGTGCATTAGTTGAACAATTCTTTCAAAACAAAACTATCAGATCAAATTTAGTGTATTTGGAGAAACCAGCAAAGAAAGAACAAGTTCAAAACTGGGCCAGATTCAGCCAGAGGCTCTGGAGGGAAAAAACCCCCAGAACATTTGCCCCAATATATATTATAGGAAGATAATTGCATTTAATACATGATAGTTATGGTTGGTTGTCAGCCAGATGTTTAGTTCTAGATTTGGAATTTTTATCTATCTTTCAAGTCCTCAAGAACCTGGGATA